AAGTTGTCATTGTAATACGTCAGTTTGCTGTAAGGTTTAATTATTACACACAAGAAGAAACTTAAAATGTTCGCTGATAGCACTGAAGTTTCATTCAGCAGATAGGGGTTTTCCTGTATCAAAAACCAAGTTGGAAAACACAAAATTTAGGTGAAAAGTTAAGTCAAGAGCATTTTGCTCCTGTTTTAAAAGGTGTTCTTAGAGTCAAAATAACAAAATAGTATGAAAACAATGAAAATGAATATAATATTAAGAATCGGTCAAACATTGACGGTTTTAAGATCAAAGACTAGATATTATTGGTCAAGTAATGTATCAAAGTGGTCAAACACTAAATGCGAAATACTGGTTTCCTTTTTAATTTTTAAAAAATATTACTTCATGATGTTATATTTTATATGTAGGGTAAGTAACTTTAAATGAATCAGATGTGTATTTGATCATATTTTGATCATTTTATGTAAAGGCAGAGGGACCTACAAGAAAAATAATATGGCTCGGTGAAACACTGACATTAAAAAATCCTTAACAGGTCAAACACTGGTGCGTTTACCTTACCAGCACGATGGTGCCCCAGCTCATCGCGGAAGAGTAGTTGTCGAGTGATTAAACCAATATTTTCCAAACAAGTGGATTGGTAATAATGGTCCATTTGCTTGGCCACCTAGATCCCCGGACCTTAATCCATTGGATTTCTACTTATGGGGTCAAATGAAACAAATTGTGTATCAAGTGGAAATGAACACACGAGAACAGTTATTAAACAGAAAACTCAACCAGACATTTTAATTCGGCTGAAGAACTCTTTAATTCGTCGTTGTGAAGCATGTATTCTAGCAGAAGGAGGCTATTTTGAAGAATATTTATAATATTTATGTGTTTAAAAAAAATATTGCAGTTAATTATGATATAAAAATTGAAACTTTAAAGTGTTATAATTTCGTAAATAATTGAAATAGGACATATGTTCATTAATATTTTTTTGGGTAATTGGATTAGCTATCATATGTCAAAGTTTGATGGTGAGCTAATAAATCACCCTGTAGAGTACGGAATGCTTGTTTGAGGTTTGTATACGATATTCGAAAGTGTGTTCGTATTTCGCATAAACTTTGTGACATTGGTTGGTTAAATATGTTCAATAGACGTAAATTGCTATCGTTCTGTCTCTATTATAAGATTTTGACCAGTGGAAAGTCTTCCTACCTGACAAATAAAATAAGATATCGTTGTGATGTGCACAATCTGGATATGAGGTTCAGAGGTAGAATTTCTCCTCCTAAGTATAAGTTGTCACTATTTAGAAGTGTAGAATGAAGATCATTCACGTACCAGATTTGTGTGAAAACTGCTCGTATTGCTAAATCGGAAGGATTTGTCGATACTGTGAGACAAGCTGTGGGTGAAGGACGTGCAAGAATTTAAATTTTGACAATAGATCTTTCGCTTTGTCGAAACAGGAAAGAAAGATGAAAAAAGTCGAAGCAGAAGAAATCGGTGATAAAAATTTAGCATGCCTAAAAATCTTAAAATTCTATAAGAGATGTGGGTTGAAGAAATTTCGAAATGGCTTGAACTCTTGATTGTGAGAGACGAAGGCCGTCAGCAAATACGCGATGACTGCGAAAATATGGAGATTTAACACCAAAAACACATTAGGTGGTTGGATGTTAATGTTGAAATCACTCAACCTTTAAAATAATTGAGAAAATTTTATTCGGATTTTCGGTCAGCAGGAATTAAAAGTAAAACAACTTTTTAAAATCGCTAATATTTCGATCGTTAAAATTACAATCTTCTTCAGAGCATTTTATTGCTAAAAGATATTACAAAGAAAAAACGTAAGTCAAGCCACCATATTTTAAGAAACAAAAATGTAACTTACTTGTAACTCGAAGTGGCGTAAAATCTCGGAAATCGTCAAAAATGAATTGATCAAAAATATTATTAAAATTTAAAATTCAAAAAACACATTAAAATTGAAAAATGACATATCAAAAAGTTATTAATAAAACGTGGAACAATTAGACGCAAAATGCACGACTGTCAAATGTAAAAAGGGAAAACCCGTTTTTGAAGTGAGAACACGATTCCCAAAAATTTTAAGATGTACAGTGTACAGAGAAAATTCATCAAACATACGAGCGTTAAACAAAAATAAATTTAATTTATAAAGAATCTCTAAATTTCTTAACAATCAAAAATTAACTCAAAATAATCAATATAAAAGCAATTAAAATACTAAAATAGCATATCATTGAAGAAATTTGAGTTGTTATTAAGATTGGAACCTTGTAAGTTGCGTGAAAGAACGCGTAATAGAACTAACTACAACATTACTAACACCTTTCAATTTGTGAATGAATTTAGAGGCTATAGCCTACCTCCGGATCACATTTTAATATCTTTAGATGTTGTTAGCCTTTTTACTGTCATTCCGTTGGATTTGGTTAACAGAATTGTGGAGGAAAAATGGCATTTGATTGCTGATCATTGCTCATGGGACAAAGACAACTTTTTGCTTGGCTTGAAACTTATCTTTGATACTTCAATTTTCACCTTTGACAATGTAATTTACCATCAAATAGAGGGCACCCCTATGGGCTCTAAAATATCACTGGTTCTAGCTCTGATGTGATGGATTTCGCGTTGGATGAGATTTTGGTTAATAACAACTCGGGTTTTCGCATCAGTTTTATCAAAAAGTATGTTAATATTTGATCATTGGAATACATAAAGATGATCTAGATTCAACGTTGAATTTGTTTAACGGTTTTCATCCGAGCATTCAGTTCACAATTGAGATCGAAAAAGACAACTGCATTTCTTTCCTTGATGCAAAAATGATAAGAAATGAAAATAACGTCATTCAATTTAACTGGTACGTCAAGCCAACATATTCGGGACGCTATTTTCTAGTCACAGTTTAACACATAAAATTTCCACCATTCTCGGCATGAAGCATAGAGTTTCGAATATTTGTGATGATCAGTTTTTACAAGAAAATCTTAACTTCCTTGGAACAAATTTTGTGAATAATGGTTATGCTCTAAAATTGGTCAACAGATTTTTGTTTTCAACATATACATACAATAATGTCAACCAGATCAGTTTAACTAATCCAGATTTAATTAAAACAGAACGCTTCACGTACAGAAAGCTTCCATACATAGGAAGGTTAAGCGACCAGTTAAGAAAAACGTTGAAATGTATTGATAACATAAAGATAAGGATAAGATAAGGATACTAAACTTAAGGATAAGACTGATGATAATTTTAGATCCAACTTGATTTACTGTGTTTCATGCAAGGGTTGTGATGGAAAGTACGTTGGTCAAACCAGTCAGTGGCTGAAATGTAGAATCTCAAAGCATGCACTGTAGACTAAAAAAGTCCAGTAATGCTTCCCAACACGTTTTGGAGTGCAGACATGAGTTTGATTTTAAGGATGTAAAAATCTTGGATTCAGAAAGCAATTAGCATAATAGGCTGTTCTTGGAGATGGTACACATCAATTATACACAGAATGCTGTAAATTTTAAAACAGATACTCAGAACCTTAGCAACATTTATGCTTATTTGTTTGCCTTAGATAGATTTAACCATAATAATTCACGCAACTTACAAGGTTCCAATCCTAATAACTCTTCAAATTTCTCCAATGATATGCTATTTTAGTATTTTAATTGCTTTTATATTGATTATTTTGAGTTAATTTTTTATTGTTAAGAAATTTAGAGATTCTTTATCTCGTATGAGATAGCTCGTATGGTTGATGAATTTCTGTTTCTTAAAATATGGTGGCTTGACTTACGTTTTTTCTTTGTAATATCTTTTAGCAATAAAATGCTCTGAAGAAGATTGTAATAAAATTTTAACAATCGAAATATTAGCGATTTTAAAAAGTTGTTTTACTTTTAATTCCTGCTGACCGAAAATCCAAATAAAATTTTCTCTATTGCTGCTCACGTTGTTGGTCGATGATACTTCTTGCTGTATTATTTAAAGTAATTGGCTTAAATGGAATGTATGTTTTTGTTCAAATTTACTGGCAATAAAAATGTCATCCAAGTAAACGAATAAAATATCTAAACCAGAAAAAACTTCATTAGTAATGTTGTAATGCTAGCGCTCCATTTCGCAAATCGAAAGGCATTTTAATGAAAATGAAAAAAGGCGAAAAGGCGTAGTAATAGTCGTTTTATAAACGTCGTTTTCTGCTACTCGAATTTGGTGGTGAGCTCGTACTAAATCAATTATATGTGGGTATGATGGGGATTTATCAGGTATGGTAAGAAGATAAAGTTGTCGATATTCTCCACACCGACGCTATTCTAACGAATCATTTATAGGAACCATGTGAAGTACGGAAGCCGGAGAAGCAACCAAGAGAGATCATTTGATTTAATACCGTCTGCAAAACGGTAAATGAGAATTTGTAATAATTCAGTGTCAGGTATTTTGTTTAACAGATTTTGAAAAACTTACAACTTTTTCCTAATACACACTCAATCTAAATTCTTTTATTGTCATACCCCGTAACGCAGGACGATTTTGAATTTCAATAATGAATTTGTCTATATCAGTTCTTTGTAATACATGGAACAACAAGCTGCTATTTGTACATGATGCAGACTTTGCGCAGTCAATCATAGAGGCGCGAAGTGGTAGGCACCATCACGTGTGATTTTACTAATATAAAACATTAAAAATATAAGTCGAAACGTTGACCTTGTCCTCCGCCAATTCTTAAAACAGCCGTGCCTGTTATCGCCCTCAAAGTTATCACGAACTTGGAAAAATTTCAAATTTTTCAAATTTTCAATATGACTGCTACATATCTTAAAATAAAGCCATATTTTATATAAACGAATATAAATGCCATCACTTTTAATAGGTTAAGTAAATCAGTAATAATAATTTCTCAAATTTAAGGTAAAAGAAATGGTAACAAACCATTTTTGCATTAAATAATTTTATTAAATAATAAAATCACTTACCATATCAGGATCATTCCAATGCCCTGGACCGGCATTAGGTACAATAACATCTTGATTATTCCCATAATAATCAATAATGCTTTCAACACTAGCCCAAGAGTCTTGAATATCATCGAAATTTCTCCACATATTACAATGATGCACAATCGCGGTATAATTCGGTTGCATCCCAGCATAAATCTGGTAAACCGGCCAACTACACGAATACAGCATAGGTCGCCCAGTTTGATTCAGGTAAAAACCAAATTCTGGATATCCAGAATCCATATCGGACGGATGTGAATAACATCCATCGAGTTTAACATAATCGACGTCCCAAGCGGCAAAGGTATTCGCGTCAGTTTCTAAATAACCTAAAATTCCCGGATATCCAGCACAGGTGTAATTACCAAAATCTTGGTAAATTCCAAATTTCATCCCTTTGGAATGTACGTAATCTGATAAAGATTTTATTCCGCTCGGAAATCTTTGTCTATCGGCAACTAATTGACCGAAAGTGTTTCTATCTTTTTCTAACCAACAATCATCCACGTTTATGTATTCATATCCAGCGTTTAAATAACCTTCTGATACAATTATGTCGGTCATTGTTTTAAAAAGTCGCTCGCTAAAAATAAATTAAGTGTTAAGTTGTTGAAATTGTTTAATTTATTTTATTTTCCTACCTGATACAATTATCTGGGTCATTTTTACAATCCGTATTACATCGAAATCTTTCCCAAGCCAACCAACCCATCGGGGGTGTTCTCGCCAAGCCATTTTCTAAAGAAACTACACTATTACACACGTATAGAATCACGACACCGAAGGAAATCCATTTTTGATACATCGCACGTAAAAATTCGTGTTTTACCTTTGGTTGTAACCTAAAAAAAGACCCGGTATTAATTTTTTGTGAAAGATGTGATTTTTTAAAAGCAATTTTCTAGCACACCATGCAGACCATTTGTTCTTCTCAATACATTTTTGGATGTGTGTTTTTTAATGTTTTTTATTAGTTTTAACATGGTTAGTTTTTGACATTTTTAAACTATCAAATTTTGACTGGTTTTTCAGTTGGTAGTGTGGAATTTTAATCGAGATTATATTTTATTATCTGATGATCTGAAGATCGAATTAGGTAGTGTTGAAGGTACCGGTAATTTAAACCCATATTTATCGTATTATATCACGACAAATCTCGCATGTATCTGACACTTGTTTATCTAACACTACTATGTATCTAACATGCGTTTACGTTTACTAAATTGCTAAAGAAAATAATAATAACAATAATTAATATTCAATCACAATTCAATTTTTGATTGATAGGTATCGTGTCATCCTAAAAGAATTTTGATGAGTACCTATCTTCACAGTATTCACATTAATATTTTTCGATATCATCTGCTTTTAAGTTTTGTTTCTTTCTGATATAATAACAGTATGTGTCTTTCAAATGTCATTTCAAGCACATGATCTCTAACCTTATTAAACCCTAATTTCAACTTAATTCTTGGTAAATAATTCCATAAAACATAGCTGAGGTGTGACACAAGATTGAGGAAGCAATGACTTCGTATAAAGTTATTTAACATCTTTTAGTTTATACAGTATCTCTGTAAAGTAACGGATATAGGCGATAAAATCATTACTACAAACGGTTTATGGAAAAATCCCCGAAACGGGGCAAAAGATTTAAATTTACCATACTTTGAAATTTCATTTAGAAAAATTACACTGTGTTGCAAGATTTTTGTACAGTTGATGAGTTGAGTGTTTTTAGTTAATTTTGGGTTGCTGATTTCAAATATGCCTTCCATTTTTTTTGTAACAGGTCACGTTTTTTTTTATCCAGGTTTCTCACGGCTGAGAGTTAGGATTTTATAGGGAAACAGCCTGTCCCGCAACTATTGTACAATACTGCATCAGCGTATTCTATGATCGAAAATAAACAAAAAAAGCCTAATAAACATAGGTCCGAAAATATTCAAAGATTTAGTTTCATAACTTGATATTGTTAACATCATGAATTTAAATTTATTTTTATAATAATTAAGTGGTTACTATGATTACGATAAGTTGTCTAATCCAGTCTAATCAAAAAAAAAATAATACTTCACGAAATTATTATTTTACTATTTAATTTAATAAAACTATTAAGTATGGCTCCGATTAATTACTCCAAGGAAGAGATGGCGGATATGGTGTATTGTTACGAACTAGCAGCTCCTCATTACGCGCAAAGGTTCCGGAACAGACCATTGCCTAATAGTTACACCTTTAGCAGACTATTTCTCAGATTAAATGAAACGGGAAGCGTAACCCACAGCCATTCCACGGAGAGACATTACACAAGGCCGGTGGAATTAGAAGAAGCAGTTTTGAGAAGAGTTGATGAAAATGCCTCAACCAGCATTAGAAGAATTTCTGCACAAGAAAACATTAACAAAACAACCGTTCACCGCATTTTAAGGGAGCAGTTACTTTATCCTTATCATTACAACACCGTTCAAGCTCTAACAGAAAATGATGGCGAAAAAAGAGAGATTTTTTGTAGGTGGGCCATACAGGAAGAGGTAGTAAACGTCGACTTTCCCATAAACATTGTATTTACGGATGAAGCAACATTTACTCAAAGCGGAATTTTTAATATTCATAATGCGCACGTTTGGAGCGATGAAAATCCCCATGCAATACTAGAAACTCATCATCAGTGGCGATTCAGTGTTAATGTATGGGCTGGAGTTATAGGTGATCAGTTATTAGGTCCATTTTTTCTTCCAAAGAGATTGACAGCCGATGCCTACATACATTTTTTACAAAATGACCTTACAGAGGCATTTGATGAATTACCTCAACAAATTCTAGAAGATTGCTACTTTATGCACGATGGAGCACCAGCACATTATGCACGCGCTACTCGAGCATACTTAAATAACAGATTTGGCAATAAGTGGATTGGCCGAGGAGGTCCTGTCCCGTGGCCACCTCGTTCACCAGATTTAAATCCGTTAGATTTTTGGTTTTGGGGACATTTAAAACAAATTGTTTATTCTGAAGACGTTCAAAATGTGCAGGATTTGAAGAATAAAATTAGTAACGCATTTGACACAGTAAAACAAATTCCTGGTATCTTTGAACGCATTAGAAGTTCATTTAGAAAACGTATCCGTTTGTGTTTAGAAGTAAATGGTGCGCATATTGAACATTTATTATGACATGAATCTTTTCCAATTTGTTAAATATTCGTTGTTTTTATGCTGGTTGAACGATTTTCTTCGACAATCTTTGTTACTTGTTTTGTTAAATTATTAATGAACTGTATTAATTAACTTAATATTATCTTATTATTTATTAAACTTTATCTTAACCATCGTAACTATGGTAATCATATAATTACTACATCTAAATCGTTACAATTAATGATGTAAACTTTGAATATCTCGAAAATGGTCCATTTTCAGACCTTTGTTTATTTGACTTTTTTGTTTGTTTTCGATCAGAGAATACGCTGATACAGTATTGTACAATCGTTGCGGGACAGCCTGTAGATGCAATAAATTTGATATTTGGTACCTTGATATACGGTGAAGAGATCTACCTTTTAGTGGTAGTGTTATGTTTGTACCACTTCCGGTTACACCAGAAATTGTTACTAACATCACTATTTTTAAGAAAATTTTAAAATTTTATTTAGCAGTTGGTTTTTATATAATGCAATTTTAAATAACTTTTATTTGAAAAATAAAATAAAATTTTAAAATCTTCAAAATGATGTTAGTAACAATTTCCCGTATAACCGAAAGTGGTACAAACATGACACTAACACTAAAAGGTAAATCTCTTCACCTTATATCAAGGTACCAAATATCAAATTCACTGCATGTATAGTTTTCCTATAAAATTCTATGTCTTGCAGCCGTTAACTATCCTAACGTAGTTAATAATTAGCTTGTAATTAACGTTAACTGATTATTAATTAGTTTTTCCGACTTATATACAGTTACCGATTTTTGATCTCGTCAGTTCGAACAAGTTTCTGAAGAAGGTTGCAACATGGCATCCGAAACGTCAAACCTTTTCAAGTTTCTAGTTTAGTTCTAATTTTAATTTGAAAAGTGACGTGTTACAAAAAAATGGAAGGCATATTTGAAATCATTAACCCAAAATTAACTAAAACCACTCAACTGATCTACTGTATTAAAATAATAAATATAACTTCTTATCTTGCAAAATTCATTTTATTTTAACGGAACCGGTTTCGACTAGTTTTACTTAGTCATCTTCATGTTAAATGTTCAATTGGATATTAAGTTTACATCGCTTTTTCAATGTCTAAGAAATATTTGATTTTATTTTTCGAAATCGCTGCTTTTTCATTTCGTTTACCTGTTTCTATCTTGGCATGTCTTTCATACAAGTTTTAAAGGTCATCCATTTTAGTGTTATTTTATATATCGTTTGTGTAGGAACTCGTGTAGTTTTTGTCTTTTTACAGTTTAATTATTTATACATTGTATTTTAAAGTGTATTTTCATATTTTTAAAATGTTTTTTATATGTCTGCTCTTTGTGATGTTGATTTTATTTTATTGACCGTAAGTTCTATTAGAATTTTAACTTTTAATTATTAAATTGAAATTAAAATATAATTGTAGATTCGGCTGAAGATGACTAAGTAAAACTAGTCGAAACCGGTTCCGTTAAAATAAATTGAATTTTAATATTTAAACAAAATTTGCAACATGGATATCAACAGTTATGATCTACTGTACACAAAAAGAAGTTAAAGTTTGCAGCAGTGTTATTAATGACTGAAATTTTCTACTTTCTTACTGGTTTTATTGTTATAAAATTCTGCTTTATATGTTTCGACCAACGGTCATATGCAAAAGTGTCGCCATTAACAAAAATTGGCTTTCGCAAGTTTGCACAACAAATAAAACCTTNTAAAATTCTGCTTTATATGTTTCGACCAACGGTCATATTCAAAAGTGTCGCCATTAACAAAAATTAGCTTTCGCAAGTTTGCACAACAAATAAAACCTTTTCATGTAGAATATGGACGTAAGTGTATAAATTTGTGATTTAAAAATATAACACGTTGAAATTTAAAATTAATACGTTAAAACACGATATGTTACAGATGTTATGATGTTATGTTACACCATGAAGTTATGAAATAAATTGATATTGATCAAATTACCATACTTTGGCTAATGAGTTGGCTATCAGGATATGTTCCATTAAAGAGCTAAACTACTGGCTAAATCAGTTTTTGACACTTAGGAAATTGTTTAAAATAATTGGTTATCATAGTTACCATAGACTCACGGCTACTGCTATTTTATCATATCAACAAATTTGAAGTAGTTAAACTTTAAAGTAATTTTTATCAAAAATTTTCTTATGTAACCAATATTAATATTGTCTGTACTAGATTTAGAAAAAATCCTCTTTCATATTCCGCAATAAAAGTGGGGGACAGCAGTTTGAAAAAAAACATCGATCACGTCATAACTGCTTTAAAAATGGCGACAAAAATTTAAAATCTACACCAAAAAATTGCAAGAACTTTAAACCTTTAGACCCGTTTCTGGGATTTTTCCATAAACCGTTTGTAATGATTTTATTCTCCTTCCAACTGAATAGCTCCGGAACCGCTTCACTTATCATGAGAACAAGAGGTTGCTGTAAGCACGTCGGAGAACACTCACCTTGATAAATACTACCATTCCCAACATGGAGAATATCGCTACCAAGACAATCCAGAAGAAATAAAAGCTACTTACTCCAAGCTACTATAATCATATGGAACACTAAATTTTATTGTAACCCGTATCAAGGACCTATACAGATAATCGTCGTGATTATTTCTACTTCAA